ATCTTGCAGAATCAGATCCCTAACTTTCGCGACATTTTCTGGTGTGATGCCAGTTGACGGCCGTCCTGAATGATCATCATCATCAGTCGATGTTCAGCTTATACCAGTCGTAAGTTTGTGTCTGGCCTAAACTGTTGTCACCAAAAGCTTGCTTCAACATTTGGTGCATTTCTGCAACGGTTTTCCCAAGTTTGAAACAAAACTTTATACAGACACGCTACTCTCTCAGATCATCCATCGCAAAACCGCAAACTCACAGAAACACAACAATGGAAATACGTTCACCAACAATAAACCCAACCACTCAACTCGATGCCGCTTGCCACACTGATTCAAGAAGGATGTGTGGGGAGACACCTAGCGGTATTTCATAACCATTCGCCCACAAAATTCAAATTTCAGGAACTTTTGGATTGCATCATGTATATACGAGGGAGAGTATGTCCCAAATGAATATAAAACGTAAAACACGATATTCGAACCTTGAAAAAACATTTATTTCTCGACATATTCTCCATCAACACTTGTTCTATTGCTGTATCAGTGCATTGGAACCTGAAGCATAGAAGTTTTTGACTGTTGTCTCAGCCACTTCTGTACCTCCCATGCAACATCTTCTTCATCTATGAAATGTCTGTCACTAAGGTGGTTTTTTAGGGGACCGAACAGACAAGACAAACATTTCCCACAATATATATTTCTATGATATCCTTCGCACCAAGTCCTTTTGCCCACAAAAGAAAAATGCACAACAGAACGATGAGATGAGCAATGCTGCTCATCTGATTGGTAGCATATTCCTCAAGCACAGTCACCATTTTGACTACTAACTATAGCCTCTGAACATGCATATCTGCTACCTACACCTGTCTTGAAGTTGGACTGTGCTGCTACCTAGTGATACACATAGAAAACCTATTATGTCCATTGCAGCTGTTTTACTTCCATCTGTGATCTATACTGACTCTCCCTTACTTTCCATTTATCAGGAAAATGATGAGCCTCAAGTCAGACTTCTTTGCTGCCTTTATATGGAACCTGCTGAAGAACTGAGGAGCCGCTGCACCTAGCAGTGGATGCCGCAGACCACATATTTCCAGTAGTAAAAAGTCCACAAATATTCCCATAATACAACACGCTATAGTAATATAGTGTTTCGCTGGGCTATGGTACCACGAAGGGACACAACTTACCACTCCAACTAGATACGGGCTGCCGGCATCCCCGAGTGCATGTGAAATAAGTATCTGGAATGCTTCAGCTGTTGACCGTCTTGTCGGAACAACCACATACTGAAACACGAGACGCAAACCTCTTGGTTCGTTGTAACTACATTCAGTTTGTTCATTCTGACCACAAAATATATCACACACATCCCCCAACACTGAATTTCATCCTATGCGTCAATTACACTGTGGCTTTGTGTAAAATGCGGAAAAACCATCATGCACATGGTAAACCTACCGATTTTCAAGAAATGCCACATTTCATGGTAGGACACTCTATAATATATTGCAAAATTAGGTACATGCTCCACAGTTTCAGCAGTTCCCTGTCGCTGGCTGTATAACTGAGTGAACAGAAACACCTAACATGCAACTTTACTTTGAACGAGAAGCGCCCAGCCACTTGCTATGAGTACAGTTTCAGCTACCGTGCCATTGGAGCCCATAACTGGGTCAGTTCTATGGAAGCAGGCAGAAACAATGATACCACAAAACTCCAGTCACAAGAGAAGACAGATCTGATGCTTACCAGAAGCATGTCTGCTACAATGGACCAGTTGAGATTCAGGAAGACCTCGCCAAAGAAGATAAGCGCATAACAGACATTGGAGTTTTTACTGGCAGAGACGGAAGCACCAAACAGAAGTGGCGAACTGACGAGGAGACCGATGGCACATATCATCGGGTCTATGGAAGGGTAACGAGAGCGTAACCTCTGTGCCAGTAACGAGCCCAAAGGAACACCGATCAGTCCAGACAGCATAGCAATGATGCCAAATTTATATGTCACACTGTAAACATAACATTACTGAATCAGCATATGTTTGTACTGCGATGTGACACCGAGTAGCATGGCAGATATGTACAAACATTTCTGAGGAACTTGCAGTCTCTGGTGTTTGGGTGAAGATGGAGGCAACAGGTTGCTCCAAAATGTTAGTAGCATTTACCAGACCACACGGTATCACACCCCAGAACACAGTAATCTTAATATTTGCTGCCCTACAAACATCAAACCCTAACATATATTTATAATGCTCAGTACATTAATTACATAGGTACCATTTCATTTAATGTAGCATAATGAGGCTGCTTAATTATCAAGCTCTTTCAAAGGGGACAAAAGTAATTAAAAACTGCACAAAAATTATATGTGCTGAATATTTATAAACTGCATCTGCGTGCTACCACAGTATGGAAGGGCCTGAATACATACACAAATAAAATAAAAGTGTAACTATGGTAACAACAAGCAGCCTCCGTAGTCTAGGGGTAACGTTCCCACATCATGGCTCAAGGTACGCGGGTTCAAACCCGGCGGAGGTCGTGGAATTTTTAAGGGCAGAAAAATTTAGGGAACAAGTCCTCTGGGGAGGACTTTAAGCCGTGGGTCCCGTGTCGTAGATTTACGGCACGTAAAAGATCCTCATGTCTCTAGGAGACCTCTGAGCAAAATTAGGGAAAGTATTCCACCCAAGTAGTTTCCAATGCCTCCGGTAGATGGGGAAGTTATCGGGTACCACTGCCAGCCTCGCTGGCTGAACGGGGCTGATAGTGAGCACCAGTACCAGTAGGGTATGGAGATAGTAGAAATTAAAGAGGGGGACGTACAGTAGACTATTAGTAGCGGTGCATGGGGAAACCCACCCCCTCGTGGTAACAACAAATGCAGTCTTCTAATGAAACATTGCCTCTTCAACTAGCCAGTCTTCCATTCTACGTGTTTCACAGTTCTTCCTTTGTCATCACGAGTGTCAGTATCTCAATGCAAATGCAAGAAAACTAGCTAAATCCAGTAGAAGAATTGTCTGTGTTCTGGACAGAAGGAAACAACTCTGCACATTGATCAACACTGCCCAGACCATGTAGTGAAACACAAAATTAAGTTCATGGTAAGAAGAGCCAATACTATTGCAGTTCTGCATAGCCTACAGCAGACACTGCTAACCGCCATGGCGGGTAACACGTTAAATTGAACTGGAAGGAAAATAATTACATTTTCCTCTACATTGTAAACCACTGAACAAAAAGTTTTATATATACAATTAAATTTCACGGGCTGTGAGCTGCATTTCTGCAAAGGCACATGAGTACAATTTAGCTGACTAAATGTTGCAATCTTTTATGATCACCCTGGATTAAAACATGGTTGCCAGATTTAAGACCTGGCTGCTAACTTCACAGTACTTGGAGATTTAAAATTCCCTTTTCCCGGATGACAATGGTGAAGACCTGGGAGCTGAACTTACTGCCTTAACAACCAACCAACAGAATTACTTTCATTTTGACATGTGTCCCTGCAACATATCTCTGTAGCAGCATGTCCACCTGGCACATCCTGACCCCACACCCTGCGTACTACAGGACTTACTCATTCTGTGTGATTCCGTCGTACCCCTCCTGCAGCCTCAGGCCCTGGTACACGAATGATGGGCCCCACCATGCCAGGGCTCCCGCAACAAATGACACGCACGTAAAGCCGGCCGTTGATAACATGAAACTCTTACTGCAATCACAAACAGTTACATGATTCTGGTTTGTCTGAAAGATTTAAAGCTGAAGAAACTGCTTTATCAAAAACACATCATTGTACACATTCTGTGAATAACAACAACAACAGCCCCTTTTGAGCCACAATCTTCCTCACAATATTGTGCCAGATTTGTTTTGTATCAGCCCACCTGGTTTAAACTTCTTTGGATCTCACAAAAATGATTTTTTAATATAGGAAGATCGTCTGTTTTTTGTTTGGGGACCAGGTCCCTCTATTTACATCCCCTAGTGACAGGGCGTTCCCTTTCCCTTGCCTTCTACGATGCACAGGGCTAGGATGGAGGTATTCTAACCCACCTCCACACAGGGGGTTATGTTTGAATTATTATGTTTACAAGTTCTCACACTGTTTAATTGGGGTGGACATGCATTTTGTGCTCAAGACTCTGGTCGACTGGGATGTGACACCTTGTAGTTTGGTAGACGGGCACCAATGTTTTGGAGAAATCAGCCTTCATCTTCAGAACTGAGGAGCAAAATGGAGATAAAAGTGGTGTGAAGCACCGGTATCAGCCATTACCAGACTACAACACAACATCAGAACCTAGAAGACTGACTCCACCATTAAAATTTGGCCTTGTGAGAACATGAAATTTGTACAAGCCTTACTTTTTACACAGTTCCCGGAGGTCACTGCTCCACGAAGTGGGTCTGAGGTGAGACCCCTCATTTTTCCCTCGGACAGGGTCCTGCATTACAAAGACGATGAGAAGAACAGCAACAACACCCATGACGGGTGTTACACGGAGACCCCATCTCCAGGAACCAGCCAAGTGTGCTGTCTCAGACCCGACAATATACCCCAGACCACTGTAACAGACGAGAAATAAAACATTGTGTGAAACTGCATTAATGGCCGCAAGGTCTTCGAACCGAATGCGCAAGTGTGCAGGATTACCTGCCAACCGGTATGGCGAAATAGAAGAGCGCTAGCATTTTCGAACGCATGTCTCTGACGAACAGATCACTGATGATGGTCGGTGCTATGGTGGAGTAACTGGCCTCGCCAATGCCCACGAGAGCTCGGAGCGTGAGGAACCACCCGTAGGTCTGTTGACAAACAAACACGATCATTTTCAGTGCAAGGGAAGGCGAGGTGGAGATGTCCTGGCCGTCCGCACCACGACCAACTCCTCGGGACGGACCATGCGGTAGTGTGTGGCGCTCACGTCGCCTCCTGCAACGTAGAGAGGCATCAAGTCTTCCAGAATCCGATACACTGTGTCAGTGCATGGGCTGGATTCTGATGGCTCGGACCACAGTCCGGTGGCAGGACCCAATTACACACATTACTGAGCCTTCAGGTTGTATACAAGGCGTGGAATTTTTTGGATAGCTAAGCGACTATCAGATTCTAAAGAAGGTTACTGTCTAGTTAGAAATGGTAAGTACGAAATTTAACATATCTCTGAACACAAGGCCGTGCCGCTGCTCACGCGGTTAGTCGCCGACTTCCCACAACAGCGGCCGGGTTCGAGCCCTGCCCGGGTCATGTGGGATGTGTGGTCGACAAAGTGGCACTGGGGCAGGTTTTCTCCGAATATGTCGGTTTCCCTTGCCAAAACTCATTCTACAGACTGCTCCACACTCTTCTTCTATCATCCGGGGCTGGTACAATAGGCCAAGTAGTGGCCGACGTACCAAGTGGACTGTTTTACTCCCACCCTCCAAAAACTACCTCTGAATACAGCTACAGCTTCTGGTAAGAAAAAATGCAACACTCTGGCGAATGGCAGCTTTTTGGAGGAATTCTTAAGTGCCTCACAAAGAAGGCGTTAAAAATGGTTGCAAGTTCTTGTCTGCAATTCGCAATTACCGCACAAATGTAACGGCCATAAAAAAGGCAAAGTTATTGTATTAGGTAGATGATGATGATTAGATATGGCTACAACAACACGAAGCTTTGAATTTCCCTTACAATTTGTCGGAATTTTAATTGAAAATAAAAAATATGTTCGTGTTAAACAGGATTGTAGTCTTATGGGTTATGACAGCGTGCAGTCTGGTAGTTTACCTACGTTTCAGAGGTATATACTATCTCCATCTTCAGAGTATAAGACCACAATCCAAATCTCCACTGTCACGAAAATCTCTTAATCACCACAATTGCTAAGGTTAAAGGTAAAGTTATCTCCCCTCAAAGGGTTGTGAGTCGTCGAGGCTACCACATTTTTCTAAACAATCGGCTAACAGATGGCGGTGAGATTATTAGCCTTACGCTCCGGCCGGCAGCCCTTTACCCCCAGGAAGATTCCTGGTACTTATTTCTGTTAGAGGCTGCGTTGACACAGGGTCATAGTGCGGCTGGAAGGATTAGGTCAATTGAAAAATCCAATGACCTCATTCGGAATCGAACCGCGACCTTCCTGCTTGTATCACTGTGCCTATTCCCGAAATGCTATGAGAGACAAGAAATTAATACAGAATTGTGGGGGGAACTCTTTGGACAGTAGACATTTAGAAATTCGGAGGGACGGAAGGAAAACATCTGGATGGAGTGAGGTATCGGTGAATGTGAAACACTCACATGCATGAAGGAGCCAAGGAGCGTTGTGAGGCTCCACAGTAAGACTCCAAAAGCCATTATGAGCCTCCGGCTATAGCGATCGCCAAGATATCCGAACATCGGCGCAAATACCATGTAACTCAGCACAAACGCCGTCTGGAGCAGACCGCCCAAGTCATCGCCAATCTTAAACTCGTTTCTCACATCTCCCAGAATTCCTGGAAACGGAAACAACATATTAATAGAACAGAGAACTTCTGAAACGCAACAAAATTACTTAATAATGTGCTTTCCCCAAATGATCCAATACAATCAGGGCAATTCAACGTCAGGGAAAAATATCCAATCGCTGCATTTCGTGTATGTATAATTTATTAAAATATTCAGCTTCAGTACGGGTGTTCCAGCAAGGACTCCGATTCATGGAGAAACATTCATGTACAGCGACGGCATATATGTGACCTGAACTTCAAACTGACAGCCTTCAGTCACCACGCAGAGAATTTTACTTTCGGTGGCTTACTTTATGAAGTTTCCAGTATCAAAGATTTCACAGCGTAAAATAAAAGCATGGAAGAACTGGAAAGATAATTTTCAAGATATCAGCCGTGGCCTACGGAGGTACTACCCTATAATTTGCCTGTAGGGACATGGGGCAACCATGAAACACCTCAAGTGAGCTGGTGCCCCAACCAAGATTCACAGCGAGAACCCACGGTAAATCGCTGTTTATTGTGAGAACCATATGGAACAGACAAATACACTGTGTGGGCAGAATGCAGGGTTCAGTGCGTACCCCACAGGAAACACATTACGTCTCCGCTACAAAGCCCAACCGGTTAATGCTGTTTAGGGAGATAATCGCTGTTTATTGTGAGAACCATAGGAAGCACATAAATACACTGTGTGGGCAGAATGCAGGGTTCCTTTTCAAGAAAAGCGGGTAGTACGTACTCATTCTTAAAAGGGCTACGCTTTACGTTACAGGTTTCTGTGTCTTCGCGCAACTGCTGAGGGCCAGTCAGTGTACGGGTGAGCTTCGCTACACTGCACCTATATGACGTCTGCACATGTGATCGTATTCTTTCATCAAAATTATAATCTTCATACTGTGACATGCAAACCCATTGCCAAGCAAGAGCTGTGTAAACAGGTGACAGGACAACTGCTCTGCGGCCATGTTGTTTCCCCGGCAAAGAGAGAATAAGCAATAATGGAAGAGACGTTTTCTGTGCGGTTCGTGCCGAAGCTAGTAGCGGAAGCTACTAGAAATAGGGCATAACCTGCTGTACTGAGCCAAGACTGGATGAGGCCCTGTATTTCCTTTTTTACATGTTTAACATGTAAACTGTAAACATCCTTTACATTACGTCAAATGACTTACTGCTGCAGACAATGACTCTGACAAAGACAGACCCGTCCTCTCGTTAGAGAGGGCGCCTCACAATAACAAGGCTGTAACTGTCAATCAGTAATAAATATCTGGTCATGAGCTCCACAGATGGGGCTCGACGCTAAGACTTACTGACTGACCGTCAATTGCAATGTGACTTTGACTTGAGTTAATTATACATAAATGGTACGCCCGGAACACGTGCTGTCTAGCTAGGTGTCTTTGCTGATGACACCTGTATACACGTACGAGTATATGTGACAGACCGAAAAAAAAAGGTTATGTTCTCAGAAAGCTGCAGCGAGGTCTCAGTGCTACTGAGATGTGGTCTGAGCGCTGGAACATAAAATAAATGAAGATAAGACTCGGGCCATCTGCTTTTCTCATAGACACAGAAAATGTAAGAGGCTTAAACTTGGCGGTAGTCAAGATTACGACTGTTCAAGTGACTAAACTGCCGTTGTAGCAAAAGATACGTAAGATAGGCATGATCTGCTTTGCAAAGCCTGTACTAACATGCTATATGTGTGATACGTACATATGACGAAAGGCCAAGCGTATTCATAAGAGGCAAACCCATGTTCTCGTCAGAGAGGAAGTTACATAAGGACTATTACCGCAACGTGGTTGTCAGTTAAGAGTGGCAGTTGTGAGGAGTGAGAAGAAGGTAGCTGAGGCCGAGGAAAGTTCAGGAACCCAGGGAAACGGGAACGACCGCCGTTGAAAGCCGCTACCAAGCAAAGGCTAGTAAAGACTGTGAAGACTTTGTGTGTGCTGGAGTTACAGTGATTTTTGGAGTGTGTCAGTGAGATTGTCGTAGTTATTTGTAATTACTAGTGTAATCAGATTACCAATCCAATCCCCGTCTCTAGCAACACTTACTACGTGAAAATTTCCACAAGTATCCAGGATTTAAATAAAAACAGACAGAACGTTGCATTTACAAGCACGTACACTTTCAACATCAAATGTTCCATCGTGTCTGTATCCTGTACGCATGCGTGACTATTATTATTGCAATGAAGCGTGATGTCGCAGGAGTAGGTCAGATGCAGTTCCTTAATTGTAGACACTTCCCACACGAGACGGCGGAACAGGGCGCAGGGACAAATGCAGGTTAAAGGTTATTCACGGGGTCACAGCCATAACGAGACCCAGGCCACCAGAGGCCACAGCTGCTGTCCCTTCCCCACAGTCGCGTACACGTCCATCACGGAAGCAGCGGTAGTCCTTAACTTCTTCTTCTTCTTCTTCTCCTCCTCTTACATGGCCGATTCTATAGGCTCTCATCCCTCTACAGTAAATCCTCGCTAATCCGGTTACAGTTAATCCGGATCGAAAAATGAAAAATTCTGTTCACAGTTGAGTATGTACTTTAAGAGACACGTGGGATTTAGGAGCAAGAGGACTTTCCGACTGTGTTGAGGGCAGGTGGAGAGACTGAAACCACGCAAGAATATATCCAAGATTGGTTTAAGCTGGATGAAGGAGACCCTGGATTTCAGCTTCTGACAGAGGAAGAAATTGCGGCAGTGATAGAACAAATAAGGAAACTTACGTGGTTTTAGTCCGCAAGCGAACTATACCGACCGAGCGACCGCCGCTTGTCGGAGAAGTTAGTGCCAACTAGTGAAGAAGTTAGGGACCGCCTCTGTAGTCTAGTGGTCAGAGTTCCTGGTTACAGATCCAAGGTCCGGGTTCGATTCCCGGCGCTACCAGATTTTCTGAAAAGTAGTGGGTCTGGAACGGGGTCCTCTCAGCCTCATGAGGATAACTGAGGAGCTATTTCAAGGAAACAGCGGCTCCGGTCTAGAAATCCGAAATTAACGGCCGTGGGGATACGATGCGCTGACCACGCGACACCATCTATCCGCTAAAGTTGGCTGCAGTGATATATTTATTTATTTATTTAGTTTCATCAGCAATACCCTCATTATTAAATTTTTCCATTTGTTTCCTAAGTTTTGTTTCGTTCTTTAGGGATATCTTTTGCTTCACTGATCTAGATTATTGAATGTCTGTTCATATATTTCGTTATATAAATTCTGTGGACTCAATGAACGGGGCTAAAGATGAAACACGTGCCACTGTCCTATCTAATTACCAAATGACGCTTCCTCCGAAGGTTCTGCAAGTCCAGAGAAGAGAATTACGTACAGTTGAACTAAGCATTCCGAACACGCCTGTGGCCCCTCGGTATCGGCTACACAGCAAGACACGCACTGCTGATCTGTGACCGCGCAGGATGGTGAAGCAAAAGGAGGTGGTTGGTTGGGACGCAGGCTACACTGGCCTTCCATATCCTCTCCAAATCATCATTCACCGGTCGTACTACAGTTCGATACAAGGAGTACAGTCACAGATGTCGACAGCCGCAACCGCGACGGCGAGACGTGGAGGACTCTATGACCCGATGCGGGCCTAAGCACACTGAGTTCTGGGGGGGGGGGCAGTTTGGAGAACTTAATGATACTGTCACGTGTAGGGGTGACTATATACGGGGTTTAGATTGGAGAATGGATTTACTGACCACTTATACACACAAGATTCGGAACTACAAGTAATTACAGCGCAACCGCCAATCTTCACAAATCACCACAGCACCCGCTAAGACTTTGCCAGCCTGCTGTGTTTTTACCAGCCGTTCCCTAGCAACGGCTTCGACCAGTGGAGATTTTAAGCTTCACGAGCTCAAATCCTCTCTTCAGAGACTCCCTTGTAGAACTCACTCGGTCGCCCCAACTGTCAAGATAACTCCTCCGTAAGGACCACGCAGAAACACTCCGTCTCCAACAGTACCTCTATTGTTGTGCGTCGATTCGTTGCTGTGTGAACGTGTTTACAAAGCCGTTGCCTAGAAATGGGTCCGGTATATTTGGCCACCTCGCGGTAGTCGCCTAGCAAGGGATCTACATGCTACAATATTAAACGAGACTTTATCAGGGAATGCTACAATATTAAACGAGACTTTATCAGGGAATAATTGGATTCATCTGGCTTAGGACAAGTGACGCTGCGGGCTCTGGACATGGAAATGAACTCACTGGGACTTATTGGCCTGCCGACTAACAGCTTGTTAAGGAGCAATGTTCCATCTGGGGCATAAACACACGGGGCCCTTATCGGCGCTCGAGGAATAAACATGGTCGTCTGGCGTACAAATCAACATGCATCCAGGCAGAAGGTTCCTCCGAAACGTCGATAAACATCTACAAGATTACACGGCCTCAAATTCAACAAAACAGTAATCTTTGTCTCTAAATGTCAACTCTGCCCTTCCATCAGCTCAGTGTGATGCGTCTCCCGTCCGGAAGAAAGGTCCATCTAAGAAACAACTGAATTAAAGGAAGGCGCATGCCGCGTCTCTTCTACATGCTTGTCCGCTCCTTCGCCTTCCCCAATTTCACATTCTGCATGTTGCCTAACATTGGCCACCAAGCTTGTACGCTTCTGTGAGTGGGTGACGATCCAGCAATGGCCACGCTGCGACAAGACGTCACATCGTGAATGCGCTACAGGCTGGAATACTGACGGATCGTGGTTCCTTTCCCGGCACAGGCGAGACATTTTTATTTTCTCCACAGAGTCCAGACCGCAGCCTCCTATCCACTGGGGACTGGGGGCTCTCTCCCCGGGGATACAGCGGCAGAAGCGTACAGCTAACCACTCACCTCCGTCTAGTGACGAAGCTAAGAATGCTGCAACTATACCTCCACTCTCCCATACGTCTTTATGGTGTGGTGTTTCACGCCAGCGTCCACGAACTGCGATGTAAGCACCAAGTACAAGGGTCGAGCTCGCTTGATATTGTTTCAGTGGTTCTCG